CTTCCTCTCTCTCTCTCTCTCTGTCTCTCCTCTCTCTCTCTCTCTCTCTCTCTCTCTCTCTAGACTGTGCATTCTTACTTTCATGAGTTTCTCTACTTCTTGTGATGAATTATTTCTTTTTATGCTCTCTGTAATTTTATGATCATGCATTGTTTCTTTTGTTGGATGAAGCAAATTTTTTTAGATTAAAAAATAGCTATAGCTATTTTTTTCTTTTCTAGTGACTGGTAGTGTTTTTTTTTTTCCCGAAGTTTGTGAAATTACATGCTATATTATTTGAAGTACTATGTGGTTCTATCAACTTTTTTGAAGAAAGTGCTTCAAGAACCAATTTATCTCAAAATCTGTTAAAGAAAATTGTGCATAAGATTTGGAAGTTGTAACGGAAATGTGTACCTACATTCTTTTCTCCAAAAGAAATTGCATTTGTTGTTATAATAGATGGTTTAGGTATTGTACACCCTGTGAACGAGATATGTGATTTGGAGAACTTGTCTAGGAATTTATTATAGGGATTAAAAAATTCAATTGCTAATTCTATATTTTTAATCATCAACATGTAACAAAATTGCATAATCAAAAAATAAATAAACACATAAACACAAGGCCACAGACAAAGCAAAATAGAAACCATCTATATAGACCTAACCTTTAAATAAACCATTTTAGAAAGGTTCAAGGCACTACTGGCCCAACAACGAAATACAATTCATCAAAATAACATTGTGGCAACGCCACCAGGCACCTACAATCACAAGCTTCCCGAACAAAACTCGAGCTTCCAAAAGTCTGCAACCATGTCCAGTTGTCCATGTACAAGCTATCGGTTGTCACTCTACATGGAAGGGAAAAGAGAGGCATGAGCTAAAAGCCCAGTAAAGTAAATCAGTATCCTGTAACCCTACCTACAAACTTATAAATAATGACAGGGGCTACAATTCATCAAACAACAATATGTACATTAATAGCATAAAATGAGTATTGTTCAGAAGTCAAAGCACCTAATTTTTTATCGAAATGGCAGTTACATTGACACATATCATTGTCGCACTCAGACAATCATACATGATACTTAATTCAAACAGACAGAAACAAAATCAGAACCATAAATGGAATCAGAAAAAGAATTAGGAACATAGTCATTTGCTTCTGAAGTAGAAGTCACATCGAGGAGGTTAAGCCAATCCTGCAACTTGAAACTTCTACCCTCATTCGGGAGGGAGGACAATGACAAATGGAGGTCTCATTTCGTAGTGTCCTCAGTTACACACCCGATCCCCAGCGCGCTTTGGGGTTTTGATAGGCTGAGGCCTTGTAAGACACTACCCTCTCCTTGCGCCTTCCAGCGAGAGGGCATTACACCACTATTGGAAGACCCAATGCGTATAATAATTTGGGGGGCGCTACCCACCCTGTTATTTACAGTTATCTCTCGACTCCACTCCTACCATTGGAGTCGGGGCAGAATCAGAACTTGCCGATAAAACAGAATATCCATTACCAATGGAGGACCCATTACGTAGTAGCCAAAAGTCACATATAACAGAGTTCATATAACAGAAACAAAATATCCACTACCAATAGATGACACATTGCGTAGAGGCCAGAATTCACATATATCAGAGTTCATATAACAGAAACAGAATATCCACTACTAATGGATGACCCACTGCATAGTAGCCAAGAAGTCACATATATCAGAGTTCCATGTATAAGCATGCATAGCATTTATTCATTCATACTTTACTCTTTCAAAAGGTCAGGAGCATTTAACATTTTGTGGGATCATAAGCATGCTATTTAAATCACCTTGCAAAAGGGATTAAGCGGTGTTCAGAAAGAGACATCGATGCATAACATGTGCACAATTCACGTGCAACTTAAAATTCATTGTTGTCCTTATCAATCATGGGCATCTACAAGATGAAGCATGGCACCCAAAATATGAAAGGAAATTCAATTAAATTCCGATTTCAATTTGCTAACTGAACAATACTTGATCAATTAAGGGTTCAGTACATCGTCCTGAGCCTTGTTGAATTTAGCCAATAGTGACATATGTTCACAATTTCAAAACAATTTAAACATGCAAATTTAGTAGGCATTCAGACCTTTAAAACGGTTGTAGTTTCGGAGCATTTGGACCTCGTTTGGCTAGCAAAAATTCATGGCCACAGAGACCAAAATTCTGAGTTTCTATAAGGTCTATCAACAGTAACATACTAGAGCATTCTTAAGTATAACTCCTCATTTACACAGAATTTGGGCAAGGTTAAAACATGAAAATCATAGAAGACTTAAGCTTCCATCAAATGGTTGTGTTTTTGTGTCATTAGGACTTTAATAGATCAGGCAAAGTCTTAGTACAACAGGAGCAATATTTCTGAAAAGTATCACAGTCTGATAACAATGACATATATGCATAAAATAAAACATATCTTCCAAACTAGCAGGAATCTTAATTAGACATAAACATCAAACTCAAAGTAGACTCAGAGATATTTCGAATGATGGTGATTTGAGGC